AAGAAGAAGAAGAAGAAGAAGAAGAAGAAGAAGAAGAAGAAGAAGAACTTGTGACTTGCAAACAAAACGAGTCGGCTCGGTCATCTCACCTCATACAAGAGGAGATGGAGAGACGTCTTCAGGAATGAGTTTAAATTGGGAAACTTTTAGTACTTCTTTGAGCTCTGTTGGTCGTGATTCTTTCTTTTACATTTAGCTCGCTGTTTCCACGCTCAGTGAACCCTCGTTGTCACTTCTCAGAAAACAATGAGTTTCCATCAACTGGTCTGGAGCGAATGATTCATTGGAATCATTTTAATAATTTGTGTTTGTCTCTGGACAGTGTCAATGAACAATGAAGCTAATTAAACTATTAAAACAATTCAAACATTCAATTCTCTCTCACAGATGACTGCAATCCCAAACTTTATCCAAGTGTTTTTAGTGGCAAGCAAGTGCAGACAGTTGAATGATTTATAGTCAGAGTGAAGTATATTACAGGCTCACACACAGGAGGGCTCCAGCTCCATAAGGAGTACCACTCACTGGTCGTCGTTGTCCTGCAGAACCTCATTGCAACAAAAACAGAGGTCTGGATGAAGATGGAGAGAAAAACATATGTATTTAAATACATTTGACCATCTTTGATGTAGACGTATTATACTGTAAACACACTGCTCATGATGTGGGGCAGTACAGTTAAACTGAGTTAAAGCCAAGTTCAGACCAAACAACCCTAGCAGATCACAGCCTGACCCGGTGGTTTTATCCCGTCAAGTGTTTCATATCGGACGGCCGACAAAACCGCAGGTGGAGAAATATAGCAAGCTGACCGTAATACTGTCTGAAGCTGATATTAAATGCAGACACTAAGCATTCTGCCGTCCTCTGAGGTGTCTGCAGTGCACATTGGAGTCGTGATCCATTCTCTGCATGCGTTTATGATTTCTGCTTCTAGCATGTATGTTTTTATTGTCTAACAATGCAGCATAATCTCTAGTCCATGTTTCTATTTAACATAATTATCCCTCATTTATTGGCTTCCTATGTGTGCGTTCATGAGCATCTTAAAATAGTACTTGACAATGAAGTACAAGGGTGTATATTACTTATATTAATATTCTCTCTGCATGCTTTGTAAAGGATACATAATTAATAACTTTGTGATTTTATTCTTATATTCTGTTTTTACGTTGATTTTGTAACATCTGTTCAGGGACTAATGAATAGTCTAATAAGTAAATCTATATATATATATATATATATATATATATATATATATATATATATATATATATCAATATTCTCTCTTATTTTATTGTTTCTGCATGCTGATGAAAGATAAAAAATAGCCTCTTGTACTAATTATGGAGCATTTACAGGAATGTTTTATTAATATGCACTGTCACTGCCAAATCAACCAATAAAATAAAGGAGCCGCACATCTGGAAAACAATCAAAGCAGTCTTTTCCTTCAGACTCTTAACTTTGCCCCCCAGTCTCTCATTTGAGCCGGTTACCGGTCTGCATGCCGCCGTTTAAGGAGCGTTGCCGTTAAACGGTGTAATTATCGTCGGTAGAAGGTGAAGCTGCAGAGGAGCTGACAGCTGATCTCTCTGAGCTGACACAAAACTGCTGCTAATGAGAAGTACAGCGGGTGATTTGTTTCCCCCTGTTCTATACAACACACACACACACTCTCACACACACACACACTGATACAAACAGATAAACACACACACACACACACAGATAAACACACACACACACACACACACACACACACACATAAACACACACACACACACACAGGGGAGGAAAACATCTCCGAACACAAAGGTCAAAGCGGAGCAGAAATCTCAGGAGAAAGACGGGAAGTCGACAGAAAACAGTGAAACTCATCACCGTCGAGTGAAAACGTTCAGATCTCCACAAATTAAGAAAATCTGGATTCTCACTTCTGTTTATTTCAAAGTGTCTGAAGGCGGTCGGTTGGTCGGTTGGTCACTTGGTCGGTTGGTCGGTTGGTCGGGCGGCTCCTTTAACCTTTAAATCATCTGTCGGTTAGATTCTGTGCTGATTTTTGAAATCTTTAAACTTGATGATTTTTAGTTCTTATTGTGTTATTCGTTAGCGAAGGAGGAGACAGAGAGATCCGTTAAGGTGAACAAGGCAACGGCCTCGGGCGGCAACATATGGGCTAACTATTCACGAGCAACATAACAACCTTAGCAACCAACAGCAGTAACAGTCTGATAGGTTGTGTGTCCATCAGTGTGAAGAGACGATCACAGTGACTTTCACACACAGACATGAAGGAAAACATAGAAACCATCTCATGACTTTATTTCAACAACATTTATATTAAACAGATTCAATCGAGTTCAGCCTGGTTTTAGAATCCTTCTCTTGAGTCACATGTATATCTAAGATGCATGAATACATCTCCTGAAATCAACTTGAAGAGGATTGTTTTAGTGACATCAAGCACATCATGATAAATGATCAACGTGTTCCTATCATATCACGTTTTACTACAAGAGTCCAGCAGCACTTAAATGCTCATTAAATGCATACGGTCCTTTCAAAATAAAATCCCTTCTTCACAGGAAACTACTTAGTTAGGTTTAGGAAAAGATGGTGATTTGGGTTAAAATAACTAAAGAAGTGGCGTTACTTAAGTACGGATTAGGTGTTTCACACGGATCGACCAGCGGTCTCCTGGTGGTAAGTGGACTTGTATTTGTAAAAAGCTTTTCTAGTCTTTCCGACCACTCAAAGTTTGCATTAAATCATTCTGGGATGTTTGCTGAGATTGATTGGATGAGGCACAGCTCTACCTAGAACATGTTCCACCTAGAACATGTTCCACCTAGAACATGTTCCACCAGCTCCACTGACTCAAAGCCTTCTTTCACACACGGCCTCCTGTTTGACCCGTCCACCTTTTTGCGTTCTCAACACTTCCTGGTTCATGATTACGTGAATAACAAACACATTGATTTTGTAAATGTAGAATTTACAGCGCATTCATTTTGATATGTGTACAAACACAGTACGAACATGATAAAGGTGTTGAACATTTATATTCTCATGCATATATCTTTATAAATCCAGCACATCCTGATAAATGATGGCCCAGATGTGACTCATAGGTTTTAACATATTTTAAACTCTCTATTTCCCACTTAGAGAGTATTCTAGATGTTTGAAACGTCTCATCTGAGTCTTTACTTTCTGTCTGCTGCTGTTTTATTTGTCCTCAGGACTGCTGGACGGACGGACGGACGGAGAGACAAACCAGCACCTTAAACATCTCACCGACCTCTCCTCAGCACGTTGCGCACAAAAAAGAAAAGAGAAACCTCTTCTCCCCGTTTGTCAGCCGACATAACAAGACTGTCTGAACCCGACGAACCAGCAGAGAGACCGGGGAGAGGACGAAGGAGAGGAAACAGAAAAGAGATGGAGAGGAGGAGGAAAGAGTGAGAGAAAGAAAGAGGTGGTGGGTTTTTAAATGGTCCGGAGGGATGCGTGTCGAGGAAGGAGGGAGGAAGGAGGGGGGAGGATGGAGGGAGGATGGAGGGAGAAAGGGAGGGAGGAAGGGGGGAGGCTCCCACAGCGACTGCAAGTTGTTATATTGGGGATCTGTTAGTGGATCAATGAAAAGAGAAAGAAAGAGAAAGAGAAAGAGGGAGAGAGGCTGTGTGGAAGGATGACAGGCCTCATTACCACCAAACCTCAGACAGTGATGCTTCTGTGTGTGTGTGTGTGTGTGTGTGTGTGTGCGTGCGTGCGTGCGTGCATGTGTGTGTGCTTGCACATGTCTACTGTGTGTGTATTCCCATGTCAGTGGACACCTATTTACATGCATGAGTGTGTGTTTGCAGGATTGTCTATCCTCTCCCTCTGCTGCATAACTGTGTGTGTGTGTGTGTGTGTGTGTGTGTGTGTGTGTGTGTGTGTGT